AAATTTTTAACATATTTAAATAAAAGTCGATATGATGTGTGGTTGAAAAGTTGTGGGTTCTATTGACTTTGATAAAAATTTAAATTTTAATTTCTATCAAACTGGGGCATTGTAAATTTTCTTTTGAGATAGTAGAAAACATATGATCATTATGTTAAATTTTTTTCATCAAGTAACAAAATATTGGCCCTTCTTGAGCATTCAATTAGATCTGCACAATCTGACATGCTAATAGTATTAATTTCTATCATAGGTAATCTCTTGAAAAATAGCTTCTCTTACCTGATCCAAAAGATAATTTGTAAAAGGGCTTTGCTACCAAAACAGGGCCTGAAAGGCCCCTTACCGAAACCCACCAATAGGTGGGGTCCCATTTTTTGTGCGGGACCCACCCCCATGGGTGGGGCTCGGTCAGGGCTTGTTTTTCTCGCAAAATTCTTTGAAAAAAATCCTCACAATGAAAATTATGTTATATTGAAAACAATACACACTTGACATTAAGCATAATTACTAGCTCAACAACCTACCTTAATTAATCGTTTTATTCGTTATTTCAATTGGTCAATATTACCCAAGTAAAATGGTCAACTTCTTAACAATAATCTTTACTATTGATACACATCACATGGCCAAAAATTTGAAATTTATTTATACTTGCCATATTTTTTTCGTGTACAAAAATTATAATCACACGCCAAAAAGTGATTTGCATAGATGCACCTGAATGTTACCAGTGTTACTAAGTACATGTGACTTTACATTATATTTCTCTAAAAAAAAAGGCACACAACGGGCAATACAGTTAGTGAGGCAAATCAAGGATATCTCTAGCCCTCTCTATTGGATTAATGTTAGTGATTTCTATCACACTCAATTCCATAAAGAATGTCTATTTCATGTCCAAATAATAGATCACATACATGGCCCAAATAATTAGACAGCCCATACAGTAGGCACATATACCGTCTTTCGAAAAATCGTATAAAATGTATTTTGAAAATAAAAAATATCATGTCAAGTCATGTGAGACTATATAATTAAAAAGTGACATAAAATATTGCTTTCTCTATCTTAAAAACTTAACTCACATTTAACACAATATAAAATAAAGTAATATATAAAAGAAATTCTTATACGCAAATTTAAAATTTAGCCAAAGTTGTATTGTTCTATTAGAAATTGATTGTGTGTGATATTTTAATTAAAAAAGGGCACAATATGCTATGTCATAAACCATGTAACTTGACTTTTCTTAACCATTGTTTGATTCCTATTATTTCAAAATACATTTTTCTTTCTTTTATTTTCAATTTCAAATTTTTTAATAAAATAATATTACACACAAATTCAAAACTAACAATAAATACACACTTCAGAAAGATTAAAAGATCTTTGTTTCTATGGAATTAACTATGGAAGCAGTTCAATAAATTTATAGAAATTTAAAAAAGTGATAAACACTTAAAAAAGTGATATAAACCAATCAAAATCTTAGAATAAATTCAAGGGACGATTGACTTTTCTTATACACGTCGTCTCTTTGTGATTATGCTTCACTTGAAACAACTAAACATAGAATATAACTTAATTTTAGGAACACTATTAACATATAAGTTGGAAGAAGCATAAAGTCAAAAAAGTGATAGAAATTCAAAAAAATAAAAAAACACCAATCAAAATATTATATAGATGGAGGGATATTTGATTTTCTTCTACGTATTGTCTCGTTGTTATTATGTTTAATTTATATTAATTAAATATGGAACATAACTTCATTTTAGGAACACAACACCCTACAAGTGGTAAAATTTCAAAAAATGATAAAAACTCAAAAAATAAAAATAAAAATGACAAAGTTTAAAAAAAAAAAGGAAAAAGAAAAATGACAAACACTCAAAAAAGAGAAACATCAATCAAAATTATATAATAGATACATGGATGGTTGATTTTCTTCTATGTGTTGTTTACTTGTGATTATGTTTCACTTTTATTAATTAAACATGAAACATAACTCCATTTTAAAAACACAACACCCTATAAAATTGGAAGCGATAGAAATTTAAAAAAGAGAAAAACATTCAAAAAAACGAGACAAAAATTTAAAAAAAAAAATTACACACTAAAAAAATTGAGAAACACCAATCAAAATCTTAGAATAGATTTAGGGGCTGTTGTTTTTCTTCTACATGGTGTCTCTTTGTGATTATATTTTATTTCTATTAATTAAACATGGAACATAACTTCATTTTAAGAACACAACAACCTATAAGTTAAAATTGACAAAAATTCAAAAAAGCGACAAATACTGTGAATCGGGTAATATCACTTTTGAGAAGGAATGTAAGTTGGAAGTTGCAGATCAAGAGAAAATATAATACTAATGATGATGAGAGGAAAAGGAGACGAGGAGAAGGAAGAGAACTTGGCTGATAGATTGGGAGAGGAATGGGAGATTGTGGGGGAAAGAAAGAAAGAAAGCTGAGGAATAATATTCTGTATTTGTGTTAATGTTTTGATCAAAATTCCACTTCCAAGTTCTACGGTTATACCAATTTTGGATGGAAGAAAATCACAAAGAAATTTATTCTGACATACCAATATTACTGTTATTCTACTCAATAAAATCCTAACTCGATCATTTAACACAGGTCCTTACAGGAAAAGGACACCTTCAAAAAGATAAAACTATGCAACTATAAAGCATAAAAT